ATTCTTCTACTTCGTTCAAATAAAACACTATCCCTCGTTTGAAATGGAAGATTAAAATATTTATAAAACCTGTATCATTATTTCGTATTAGTTTGCAAGCTTATTGATCTTAAAATTAGTCTAATCTGAAGGATAAACTCATAATAATTTAACTATAATTAGTGTGTGGTTACGCTAATTCAGTGTTAAATTATAAAACAAAAACATCTAAAAGATAAAGTAATTTATTATTTTTCTATTTTTTTAAACGAGTTAATTTTCTAGAAAAATGCAATATTAAACTTTAAAAACACAAATACATTACTCCACTCGCGACCGATATGTAATATTATGGCTTAATACTCGGAGAGGATCTGTAAAAAGTAAAAAAATCCAGCAGAGAAACACTGCAAGAATGTTTTAGAACCTTAACATGCTCTTTCTGTAATTACTATACTAACAAATCTCATTTTCCTTAATACACTTAATTAAAAACGAGAAAAACAGAGGGAAAAAAACAAGTAAATTTTAAATTTCAAAAAATAAATAAATTTACTGTCAAATTCTAAATTAGGAACTTCATAAATATTTATGTAAATTATTATTACTACTACGAGCGTTAAAATAAACCGAAACATATGTTTACGCTTTGATATTATTTACAAAAAGTGTTCACTGGCTTATCATGAAGCTAGCAGTAGTTCAGAGAAAAACTCTCCCGCAGCGAGAAAGGTTAGAGGAAATTGCAGGATGTTTGATAGTCACACAGTTAAGAGAAAATGGGTAACAACACGTGACAATAAATAGACGTAGAAGTGCCAAGTTCCTCCTCCTTCCTACGCTACATATCGACAGTTGTTTTTCATCAACTACCCTGATAAACACCAGTCTAACGTTGTTGTTTGTCTTTCCTAATTTCTGATTTAGTTACCACCATGTAAACATCATAAATATATATGTCATTAGTTATCTTTTAAAAAATTTATTTTTACTATTGTTTCAAATAAATTTAACTAAACTTAAATCGGAAATTAAAAACACAGCTTTCTAGTATCTCAAATCCATAGAGAATTTACAAAGTGAATAGTCATGTTCAACAAAAACACTAATATTGTACAAGTGTACAGTATCTTTCTCACTTTTACAATTCCATGTCAAAGTGTCTCCGATATTTTCAGTACAGAGATTCTTCCCTTTGCCAACCGATACTTATTGATACGTTAGAAATATGTTTCCGATATTTTTATATATATATATAGGGGAATTTTTTTTTACTTGAAAGAACTTATCTAACTTATGAGGGGGAAAACATTTCGATCGTAATATACAATACTCAAAAAAAAAGAATATAATGTTCGGATTTGAAACGCATTTAACAATGATTTTCCCATTACACTGAATTATTCTGTATCAAATATCATTCAAGTCGACTTCGAGTGTTACTTGTATTCTTTAAATCTTTCTTAAAAGAGTTTTTCTTCAGAAAGGAAGGAAACGAAAAATCGACTCTTCAAATCAATCATTTTATTATATTTATTGAATTTAATAAATTATTTCTGTAATAATCGATAAACATTACGAATCTTAGACTATTTAATGTTTGAAATTGTTTAATTATTATTACTGCTTGTTAGTATAAACGAAACATTCAACAGATCGAAATTAAAAGGAAAAAATTGATTTAGAAGAATTTGTATTATTTGTTTGGCTTAACAAAATGACAAAAAATCGATTGTTTTTATAAACACGTTACACTTATATAGGGGAGTAAGCTACAACAAAGCGAATAAAACCTGAACGAAGATTCTTCAGAGCTTGGTGGTGCAAAGACCATCAGAGTATTTTATTACATTTTCATGTATCACTGACATAAAATTGCTGAGAGTGGTGAATGAATGTAGAGTACCCACGCGACATCCAGTCACCATGTAGATCAATTTTATTTCTTCTCCATCTGTTCACCTTATATTTTGCAAATGCACACAACAAAGACAAAAGCGAGCATGTCAGACAAGTAATGGGTATGACAGGACTAATTAAGCGAAGGGGCGGTCGGACAGTTTTACATATTGCACGGTACCATTCAGTAGAAATCAAGGGAAATACATTTCATTTCAAACTGTTTACTCGAAACAATGGATCAATAGTATTCCTTCGTGACTGGTACTTATTGATATGCCATTCTGACGACACGTTAGAACGGCGCCAGTTTATACAGTATTGAGACAGTAAAATGCATTTAGCTTTAAGTTTACATGTTGAAATTAGAAAGTTTTGCTCTGATTATTTTCTTAAAACAAAAATCTATATCGCCAAGTTCTGTACTATTTAAAATTTTAAGCACATACTGGCAGCCATCATCTCTCCAAAGATAAGGTAGTTTGCCACTTATAAAAAGTCGATAAGAGACGAAAACAGCTTTTCGGAGGAAAGAATATCAAAAATGCTGTACAGCACGATTAGAAATATTTGTCACCAAGGTAATGATGTCGAATTGAGAAGGACGACGCTTAATCGACTTCAACGTACAACTAGACAATGTCATTTTTCTCAGAAAAACCAGATCGTTCCCCATGCTCTACACTTAAGCTCTTTCCTAAGCTCTTTTGTGACGACTGAATTCATCTTTGTTTCGCTGGCAAGATAACCGATCTTCTCTTATCGACATATATCTACTCAGAGTCATTTAATATGTCGCCAAATTGTGAGATTTTTTTCTACTTTTTATCCCAAAGGGTCGCTACTGGATATTATTCTATTGTCTTTTCTTAACTGGAGCATAAACTTTGAATGAACTTTACCTATGTCTTTTATCTTGCTAAACAGGAAAGGAAACAAAAAAAATTTTCTTCTTCTTTTATCTAATTAACCGTAATCACGAAGAATGATTAATAATTTTTCAAAAAAGTCGATATAATTCTAAAAATATTTAATCTTAAGCGTGTTCCTTTGTAAAAAAAATTCGGGAATTATATAATTTTTCAACTTCAAAATCAAATCAAATCCCAAATTTTATTCTCCATTTTAATACGCTACCATGAATTATTGCCGATTTGACAATTAACTTATTTATCCTGGAATAAGAGGAACGGGCACAAAGCCAGAGAAGTTTTGATAAATCTACGCGATGAGTCGATTACAAATGAACAGTTACGATGCAGGCAAAAGAACTCATTTGGAAGAGAAATTTTGAAAATCTTTAAACAATTTATCAAGTTACCACACTGCTTTATCTCAATTGTGTTTCCCCCCTTCGTTCGTTTAATTCTAAAATATAAAAATTGGATAAAATCAAAAACCGGCAATCTAGAGATTTTTATTTCGTTTCCACTTCTAAATATACAAATTGAATTTTAGTTACTTATTTCGAATATTTTTTCTTAAGTTCATCATCCTGCAATATACTGAGGTCATTGGGCTAAACACACTTATCAATCTCTGGATCTATAAAAGGATATATATCATAAAATGGAAGCTTTGACCCAGAGACTAATTACAGCAACTGGCTGTATTATTTTCCTTTAAGCAACATTCGTGAAACCAGCCCACTTGGAAAACCGACAGAACTTGTTTTTGAATATGATAATCACTTCTAGTAACAGAATGAGGAACTTTATGCACACAAGCAGATTTTCTAGCTCGTGAGTCACAATCTTTACTAACTCTCTCTAATATTAAATTATGATTACCTTATTTAAGCATAATTTTTTTTTTGAATAATAAAATGGTTTAAAGAATAATATATTATTTTAAAAACACAGTTGTAACAATATAATTTANTGTTACAGGTTATGTCATAACCAATTTTAAAATGGTGACGTCAAAATAATAACTACATAGTATAAGTTGTGTTGTTATTCACATATATATTTTTATCCTTGATATAATAACTTGTATATTACTATAAATATAAATTCTTTTTTAGTCCTTAATTTTGTTTTGTATTCGAATTTCCTGGAAATACAAGTCAAGTGGAAAAAGATAAGAATGGGCAGACAACCGTCATTCAAGGTGAGACTTCGGGAAAACGGGGTGTTGTCAACTTTTACACAAGTTACAAATCTTCGTGTCAACATTTCCTCCTCCCTCTTTTTTGGGTAATATATAATTATTATAAAATAACGAATTACAATAATTCTGATGCCCATTAAATACATTTTTACTCGTGAATTTTTATTGTATACGACACGATTAATTCAACAAGTATCTTAGTTTTTGTGTGTAGATCTGTAGATTATTCTCGAATTTTTATGGTCACGAAAGATTTACAATTTAAATTTCGATAATTTGATTGATTTAACGTATTTTATTTTATTTATAAGCTATTATATATATATATATCAATTTTGGAAGAAACTTTTAACAATAAGATTAGAAGAAAAACGTGTAATTAGAAGAGTTTTTATTTTAATAATGTATACAATTTAATTAAAATAAAAAAAACACAATGCAGAGTTTCCGAAACGAAAGAAAGAACCATCCTATACATAAAAATAACGCTAATTTATTATTTTAAATTATAATTTTAATAAACTCAATCAAATAAAAAAAATGAAATTTGGATAATAGACAATCGCAAATATAAAGCGATTAAAATGATATTAGTTAGAAGAAGTCATTTGTGAAATGCAAATATCAACACAACATCCTTCGAGATTTAAATTGTTAAAAAAGGAATCAACGTCGATTTACTAAAGGTTCCCAGCACCTGTCAGTCGTTAGTGCCTAAGGCTGAGGAGAAAGCTTCCCACCTGCCCAGGTAGTAAGGCCAGACAGAAGAAAAACTTAACTTATCCGACTTTAAATTGCTTTTGTGTTACTCTAACCGCCAATGATGTCATGTCAGACAATTTTCCCACAAAACTTTCAAACTGAAAGACATTTATCGATTCTCCAACCATTTTACTGGACAAACGCATCTCAACCGTCCATCCACATCAGATATTCTTCCAACGGTTTTTCATCCCCCTTCGTAATAAACTATAATAAAACTTACAAGTTAAATTGTAAATATCACTTACTTTGTACAAGTAGAAGACATAATATCCACTTTAAAAGTTTGTATTCCACTTCCATGACGGCCAAGAAGTGATTTCACGTAAAGTCCAAACTCTAATACACGAACACACTGCAACCAGCACTGAAGCCGTACGCCATTTGACTCGCCACCTCTTCTCTCGACAGACGGCGTTAGCGCACTCTGGTGGACAAAGTAGGAAAGCAGGAGCCGGATGTCTGCCGCAACGGCGACAAACCCAATAAATAATAGCTCCGCTCTTCGGATTTATGACTCGAGTGGACACCAAACAAAATACAAATAATAATTTATTACGTATCAAATCACTTTCACTTATAATACGCATTAATGTAATACGCTAATCCGAAAACGGGCCGATTTTTTTCCTCTATTCTAACGAACGTATTCGGAAATGTCATTTTCTAAATTTCTAGATCTAAATTAAAAATAACAAAATAAAAAATATTATTTCCTTCCTTTGACATTTTCGCTTCTGAGTTATTAACAAATGCGTAAATAAAAAATTCTTTTCTTAAATGTTAATATTAAATAATATAAAGTGATATTATGTAGCCTATATTCTTAGGTAAAAAATATATAAAACATTTTAAAATTACATACAATGAAAATACATATGAAATTATAAATATTGTATATAAAAATTTGAAACAAACAATTCTAAATATTAATTAAAAATTTATTTTATCGCAAATAAAATAGACAGGAAGCTTGTTAAACTTTAACATGTTATAGTATAAAATTAATTTAAATAAAAATATAAATACTACATTTTTATATTTTTGATATAGAATAAAATATTTATAATTCTCAAAGGTTTTAAATCGTAAAGATTTATACAATAACAATACAAATCGTATTAATATAGTAAAACGTAGTAGAAATTACATTATTTTTATGCACCAGTTTTCTTAGCTTATTGTTAAATATATATACTCTATAATAGCTCATAGAAATAATACAACTTGTAGATACTATTTTTCATATGTACAGTACAGTACTTATAAATATGCAACTGGAATTAGTAAAAATTATTGTAATAAGCAGTTTGCGATTAAGACATATAATCATATTAATTATGAATCCACACGCTATGTAATAAATCTATAACAAAGTACAGGATACGATAATTGAATGAATCCTTCTTTCGTGCAAATATCCCTACATGAACAGTTTTTCCTATTTTGTTAGAGATTTATGAGCGAACTGTTTATTTATTTATTTTAATGAATCATACTGAACTAACATTGGTACCTATTGTCTAAATAGGTAGAAACAATTTAGTCGACTGAAATCTATAACGATAAAGAATATACATTATTATGTTTATCCTATAAAAATCATTAAAATGAATAATAGATTATTATTATTATTATTATTAATATTAATATAAATTTATAAATTAATTTATTGTTAAAAGCAAACACAGTAAGCAAATTTTTAAAAGTAACTTGTTCATTTTTTTTCCTGTAAAAACGATGATAAAATCTTTTGAATGACAAATTTCATTTCCTTTAGATTATTTCAAAGCATTTTTAGAGTTTTTTCTTTTCATAAAGTAACTTTTAAGTTTAAAAAAAATTTAAAATTGCTATTTCAAAATAACTCTATCGATAGAAAATAAGGAGGATTTTAGTAATCTGATTTTATTATTTACAAGTGCACCTGTCTAAAAAAATCAAAATCTCATGACAAAAAAAATCTTTCTAAAAATAGAATTTATTTTTTTTTTTGTCAAGTTCGAATGTAGTTATTAGTGATATATTGTAACATCAGTTCATTCATAATTTAAAACAAGGTTATTAAGAATTTTAAAAATTATAATAAAACAGTATTATAGTAAAGTAATGAATAAAATAAATATTAATCAATAAAAAGATAGAGAATAATTTATCACGAATCCTAAAATAGTAACAATACATATTAATATTAAATACTGTATAAATAGATTCAAAAAATAAACCTATTCAATCAAAAAAAATTAATAATAGCAATAATAATAAAGCAAAGAAAAGATCTTTTATATAAATTCTTTTTATATATATATAAATTTTAAAATTTTTATTCGATTCAGCATTATATATTTTTAAAAAAGGATTAATAATTCAGTTTGCATTATGTAATTGTTGCNTAAAGATTTATACAATAACAATACAAATCGTATTAATATAGTAAAACGTAGTAGAAATTACATTATTTTTATGCACCAGTTTTCTTAGCTTATTGTTAAATATATATACTCTATAATAGCTCATAGAAATAATACAACTTGTAGATACTATTTTTCATATGTACAGTACAGTACTTATAAATATGCAACTGGAATTAGTAAAAATTATTGTAATAAGCAGTTTGCGATTAAGACATATAATCATATTAATTATGAATCCACACGCTATGTAATAAATCTATAACAAAGTACAGGATACGATAATTGAATGAATCCTTCTTTCGTGCAAATATCCCTACATGAACAGTTTTTCCTATTTTGTTAGAGATTTATGAGCGAACTGTTTATTTATTTATTTTAATGAATCATACTGAACTAACATTGGTACCTATTGTCTAAATAGGTAGAAACAATTTAGTCGACTGAAATCTATAACGATAAAGAATATACATTATTATGTTTATCCTATAAAAATCATTAAAATGAATAATAGATTATTATTATTATTATTATTAATATTAATATAAATTTATAAATTAATTTATTGTTAAAAGCAAACACAGTAAGCAAATTTTTAAAAGTAACTTGTTCATTTTTTTTCCTGTAAAAACGATGATAAAATCTTTTGAATGACAAATTTCATTTCCTTTAGATTATTTCAAAGCATTTTTAGAGTTTTTTCTTTTCATAAAGTAACTTTTAAGTTTAAAAAAAATTTAAAATTGCTATTTCAAAATAACTCTATCGATAGAAAATAAGGAGGATTTTAGTAATCTGATTTTATTATTTACAAGTGCACCTGTCTAAAAAAATCAAAATCTCATGACAAAAAAAATCTTTCTAAAAATAGAATTTATTTTTTTTTTTGTCAAGTTCGAATGTAGTTATTAGTGATATATTGTAACATCAGTTCATTCATAATTTAAAACAAGGTTATTAAGAATTTTAAAAATTATAATAAAACAGTATTATAGTAAAGTAATGAATAAAATAAATATTAATCAATAAAAAGATAGAGAATAATTTATCACGAATCCTAAAATAGTAACAATACATATTAATATTAAATACTGTATAAATAGATTCAAAAAATAAACCTATTCAATCAAAAAAAATTAATAATAGCAATAATAATAAAGCAAAGAAAAGATCTTTTATATAAATTCTTTTTATATATATATAAATTTTAAAATTTTTATTCGATTCAGCATTATATATTTTTAAAAAAGGATTAATAATTCAGTTTGCATTATGTAATTGTTGCTTCGATAGGAAACAACATCTTAAAATTTTAACGTAATACAGCACTTTCTTTAAGTTAAAATTTTTAATATTCAATTTTGTTTTATTAGAAATACATTTAGTTTTTAAAATGTTATATCTACAACTACTGTATTATTTGATAAACCAATTGAAACTCTTTAAAGAAACTACATAGTGTCTGTTATCAATCAAACTCAATTTTTCTATTGATACATCCATTTTGAAAATAAATTATTTCGTGGTTTTATTTTAAACATTAAATTGTTGTCAATCTTTTAGAATTTCTCTATTATTTTTATTTCCAGATTTTTGAATCGGATTATTTATTTTACAGGCGATTAACACGTTTTAATTATAGATAAACATGAAATTTTATAAATTGTCCGTAGTTTTAAAGAGCTTAGAGTTATATATCGTTGAATCGGAATTAAAATTGATTTATTATTTTATCTACATTATTGGCAATTGCTTTTCTATGTTCTGATATGATAATGATATGTCATTAAAATATATATTTTCGGTTGACAACCGATATTGCTAAAACAATTATTTAGATCACATAGAATAAATCTTGGATCCCTCTTACAATTATTTACAAAGACAAGTACTATAATAATCGATAGACCTTTGAAACTACCAATTACAATGAACATTAGCGCATAAAGTAACAAGACTATCATCTCAACCGTACGCAAAGATGGTAACAGATGACTTTATTCATGTCATTTGTCTAAAGAACGACGTTTGTCATTTCAAAATTGTTAGGTAACAAACACGATTCTAACCAGTATTAATTTGTACTGAAACTTAAATTAAAGCAAGCAAGAAGGATTAATTTTATATTATTTGCAGACAAACATGTTCAGAAAAACGAAAAAATATATATGTAATCTTTTGGCATTCATTAGTACAGAATTACACTTTAGGCATTTAGATCATTAGTGCGAATGTCAGTCGATGTCGCTGGAGGATACATATTCGAAATTATTTTATGAAAAGATTCTCTAGTTCCTAAGAAGTTTGCGTATAAAAGCAAATAAAATACTAAAAAGATAGTTTCTCGTGGAAACAAGCAGATGTTCTTTAAAAGAAAGTTATTGCAAAGTTAACTCGCAAGATTAGTGAAGAATTTAACTAGAGGTGGTATATATATCTCTTTCCCTTTGTATAATTACTTCTTCATTTTAATTAATTGTCATTATTTTTGATGTTACTTATATTGATCCATTTTTTAAAAGCATTGACTAATGCCCAATAGCATTACAAATTTTCCAAAAGTATCGCTTTATAACTTTTGTCAATAAGTTTAAATTACGCTCAAATTAAATTTAAACTGAGGAAAACAAGAAGAAAACTAACTACTAAAAAAAAATCTGAAAATGTTTCCTTTAAATATTTACTTCTTAATTTTACACCAACATTTTTTATTTTATTTTATTTTTCAATGTATTTTTCTTTTTTCGAGAACATCTATTAGCTCGGAATGAAAGAAAAAATTAAATAAAATTGGTTTAAAATTGTTATAGATGACAAAAATTTAATTTCAACCAAGTTAAATTAAGCTATTAACCGATTCCTTATTACTATTTATTGAAACAATTCTTTTATTGTAAAAATAAAATTAAAATTGTTATTACTGTATCTTTCTACAAGTGAAATAATTACAGTAAAAATACTATTTGAAATAATTTACTTATCATTAAAATAAAAATTCACCTTCAATATGTTTCACAGGGTTTTTTTTAAAGTAA